AAATACAAATCCGGATTTTTTGGATTTCCCTTTTTGTCGTTCGATTGGGAAATCCGAAAAAGGATTTGAAACTGACTGTCCTTAAGAACAGCGGTCTTGCACGCGTACGCATAATTAGCGAAAAAAGACCGCTGTTCACGAGAACAGTTTAGCAAATCCTTTTTCGGATTTCCCAATCGAACGACAAAAAGGGAAATCCAAAAAATCCGGATTTGGATTTCTTAATTGAAATCCACCCTGCAAAAGGATTTCTCGGAGGTGAAATCCGTTTTCGGATTTCGCGTTCGATTGGGAAATCCGGATTTTGATTTTGAAAATCTAAATCCGGATTTCCCAATCGAACGCACCCTAAAACACTTTATAAAAATAACTAAGATAGTACGCGAGAACTCTAAGTTGTCCAAGAAAAAGGAGAAATATGTACACCTCGAATCGTTATATGAACCCGGCTTCAAGAGTTTCCCTATGTTAAAGCGAGAGATACTCACGAGTCGGTCGAGGTCTTATTTGTAAACCAGTTAATATGGTTTTTGTATCTCTTCATATCAAGCGCCGTAACAAAGGTTGGGCTTTTATTTGTAAATACCCAAATTAGCGACGCGGCGCTTATTAGAGAGCAGTGCTTATTAAATTATTTACGGTAAAGATGCGGCGCTTAATCGATCATTTACGGTAATAAACATTCCAACATCTGGTGAGACAACTCTGTATTCATAGACACGTGTCACATGTAAAATGTCATTTGAAGCTAATATCTCTTGCAGTGTGATTTCTTGGAATTTGACAATGGCACCTCAGTTTGTAGTATACTATGTAACACCCGGTTTTCAATCTTTAAAAATGCAGTTCTGTGGATCCAAACCAGCTAAATTTGCGTCAAAGGGATATTAGATAAATGCACCTTAGATCTCGGCGTGTTTTGAATTATGTGTTGTCAGGAATCTTTGAAAATACAAGCCAATAAAAATAGTGATTTTGAATACCTATTCATACGTCACGGTAAAAAACAAATCTTAGAAATACCAAAAACTAACCAACCAAAGTTTTAATAAGGATACAGCTACAAAGTACGACCACATACTCAGTTGGTAATATTGAAAATGATCGGAATAACCATATGTATATACTTATCGCGGTTAAATTATGAATATTTCATTCATTTCATGTCTGTTCGAACCTGTTGTCCTAAGGAATGTGCGCGATTTCTCGGAAAAATCTTCGCAAAAAGACTCAATAATTGTGTAACCTCTTATGGCTTGAAGTTTTAATGAAAACACACTAACTAAAGGTAGCCAGTACTGGTGAGACCCATCAAATTACTTCTTCATACTCAAGTCGCAGATCAAAGAGGAGCATCGCAACTTCAAACCAGTGAATGGCAACAGACGGAAGTAGCGATGGCGACATGGCGTGAGTCATATTGACTAATCGCGAAGTCAAAAATGATGAATCGCTACTTCAAGAAGTGAGGCTAGTTCTATTACCAGATATTTTACAAAATTTTCTGGTTTGCACTCGCCGTTTGGTTGCCACCTTGAAGCCCTCAGTGAAGTCGACATTTTCAAGTTTGAACTCACCATCTTCTACCACAATTCGCTCTTTAATCCTTCTAGAAGTGGCGACTTCGATATCGTCAGCATTTCATGGCCTTTACCGAGTACGCCATACGCGGAAGAGGCGAATTTCTAGTAACAAACACTTCTTTCAAAGTCGCCAGTCGTTACTTTCATTACTTGGAACTATAAATTTTAGCGAACTGGCCATTACTGCTACTTCCTAGTCTCCATTCGATCCTTAATTTGAAGTAGGGACATGAAATCAGCCAATTTTTTTGTCAGTTCGGGCTACCATACGATAATCGTGTATAAAAAATACTCACCTTCAGTCAGTCGAGGAAGAGTAATTATCTTAAACGCCGAAGGATTCACTTCGATCAAGGCATTGAGAAATGGCGGCGGCTTTCTTTCCGCTGTCGACAACCCAATACCCGGAAAAGCACATGACTTTGGGAGCTGGTTTCTAGCCAATCAGAGCCACTTATGTCTAGGTTTGCAAGCAGCTGCAAAAATTGCGATTGTTTGCCAAAAACAAACAGGCTGGCGACTGTTTGAAAGGTAGTTGCGAAAATTGCGAAAAATCGCAAGTCTGACGAATTTTAGAAGTTAGTTGCGATTTTTTTCACAGTTCTTTGTCATGTTAATAATCACTAAAGCCCAGAGTCAGTTGTCGATTTAAACAAAATTTACGAAAATTGACAACAATTGCAAGTCTGACGATTTTTTGCAGTTCTTTGTCATATGTTAATGGTCACTAAAGTTTGACGATTTTTCGCGTTACAATATGTACTTGCGATTTCTCGCAGTTTACGTTCACTTTCATTTTAGCAAATTCTGCGGTTTCTTCAATTTTTCGCAATTTTTGCCGCTGCGTACAAACTTGGAATCAGAGCAGACGATGTTTTCCACATTCGCGATTTAATATACTGCAAAACAGTCCGTATTTTTGCGTATTCAAGTTCGCGCGGGAAGTCTTACCCTACGCTACACCGATTTTGAAAAAAAAAAACCAGGTAACTGTTTCGCAGTCTACTTCGCCATTTGCACATCTCCCATAATACAACTTGTTTGCCCCCCCGCCCCTCCCCCGCTCCCCGCACATTTTTGATAATCTTTGCTTTTCATTTCTCCTGGGATTTTCAACGTCCAAAGAAAAAACCCACGCCAGCCATGTTGCTCAGTGGCTGTGTCGAGGCTGTGTGCAAGGATACGATGCAACCCGTGTCTTTGACATTGCTTATAGAAATCATGCTACGTGCGCAACCCACAGATTCTGTAGGGGATAGCAGCAAATGTAAGTAATTATCTTTTTTATGAGTGGTATAGCATATCTAAAGCTTGAGAAGTCACTTGCAGATTACAACTTGACTTAAAAACTGAATGTATAAAAAGCATTAGGTTTAAGTTTCCCAATTAGCATCAACATTAACAATAGCAATAATGCATTATACATGCGTTATTGACCACGCGTAAGGTCAACATGGCTGGATATTAGCCAATTAAAAAAATTAACGAGGTTAATAATTCAGCCATCTTGACTGCTCGTTCGTATATTCAGCCATATGATAAACTACCGTGTACAAAAAAATAATAGCAAATAAAAGTGAAAAACCAATATCTTGCATAAATAAATGGCATAAAGACGGTCACTCTTCCACCGATAAAAATGTGAACTGGAGAAACATTTTTCAAGCAGCAAACATCTAAGAGCTCAAAACTAATTGATTTTAATTTCAGATTTTTACATAGACGTTTACCAACTAACAGCTATCTGCAAAAAATAGGAGTTAGAGAGGATGGAAAATGTACTTTTTGCCGCGACGAGAAAGAGGATTTGACGCATCTATTTTGGAAATGCCAAAAAGACAAAAATCACGTCTCAGCTCTTTATGCAACTGCTCAGCTTTCCGCAGGTCATTCTTACGTAAATCTTCGCCTTTGGCCAACAACAGCTGGTTGTTGAAGTAAGTCTGGGCATTCCTCTTGCAAACGAATAGTATTCCAACGACGATCATTGAGCGGATTCCCAAGTGAGCTAGAATTAGTGAGAGGGAAAATAGTAACCTTCTTAACTTTATCAGACCATACAATAATGTGTACAATAAATGAGGGTTGAGATGGGTAATAAAATATAATAAAACTTTGATTTTCTTTGCCTTGGTACAGTTGACGAGACCGAATTTAAAGTTCGCTACCCTATTATATTTGGGGGCGGGAGGACCCTCAATGAAACACGATTCCCAGCTACTCCATGTAGCAGGTACTGTTTTGATTTGGCTTCCTCTTCCAACTTTAAAACAACCACGCAAGATTCCACACCAAGCCCGCCTAGACTAGAGGGTACCGGCCTATTCTTCACTAGTAAAACTGTCCAACTAGTGGTCTATTATCAATGCTGCATTCTGATTGGTTGGGCTACTACTAAGCTATATGTTTTAGCCCACTAGTAGCGAAAAGCGCCGGCTTTTTGGCGGTAAAAAAGGAGTAAAGCCTAGCTTAAACTAGCTAAAGTTGTTTTGTCTCAATATTTTTGACCAACTAGTTGGATTTTACTAAATAAATTATTCCTCTCGCCCTCATGGCCTTTGAGTCAATAGTCCATTCGGCCTTCGGCCTCATGGGCTATTGACTCAGAGCCCTTTGGGGCTCGAGGAATAATTGTTAAATAGCAGTTGAAGTCCGCCGAGTTGTCGTTTTTCTGCTTGCTATGTTTTTCAGGAAGTAGTTCGGCTACTCCTTCTTCACATAAAGTGTAAAATCTTCCACCATGTTCTTCAGCCTTACCAAAATAACCAAATACCGATTTCACGCAACCTTGTTCCCAGGTCTTTTTACAAGTACACTATTGACGTCACTTTACTGGATATTGCAATCGTCTTCCAAATTTGGTCGACGCAAGCGGTTGTAAAGAATTACCCGGGAATCCGAGTCAATCAAAAACGGAGAAATATTTTGAATAAATAATAAAAAACCTTATCCTTTGGCACCTTGCCCCGTACCTTTAAAGCGTATGAAGGGTTCAAATGTCCCAAGTCTTAAACCATACAGCTATTTCGAGAAAGGTTGTCGGAAAAGGTGCACGCGACAATCCCGAAAGGCATAATGGGTGGTTTTGAATTCACTGTTCTTCAGAGAAATTTGAAAGAATTGGCACGAAAGTCCATGGAAATATGTTTGCGAGTGCTACAGTAGGTTCGACAGCTACAGTCATCAGGAACAGCGTATCGATCATATCCCATATTACCTTTCGGGATTTTCGCGTCCACATTTTTGCCGACAACCTTTCTCGAAATAGCTGTATGCAAGAGAACATAATGAACTTACAGCCAACAGTTAAAATAGCTGCGATGACTAACCCCATGAAAATGATCACTTGTTTAAGAATATGAGTAGGGGTTAGTTTTGTTCCACGCTGCAGATCAGAGATCTCTGTTTCTAAATACTTCAAAGCATCTTGGCATGTGCCCAGAACACATTTGGAATTGACAAGTCCCATTTCCAGTTCGAGGTTATCGTTTCGGGAGATCCTGTAGTAATTTTCAGCAGCTGTTTGGATCTAAATAATTTTCAAATAAATAAAGAGTGGGTGGTCAAAATTATTACTAATAACTATCTTTCACACAAAAGGGAAAACTAGTGGCTAATTGAGCCTGCGTAGTTTATCCCCTTAGTTCATTGCCATTCAGACAAAAAGGGGGGCACTCTCTCCTGGAGCAGCCTCATTAGGGAGTTTAAGCAGCGACGTTTTTGAGCGACTCACGTCAGCCGGAAGTGGAATTTTTTTTCACTGTTGAGCAGTGGTTTTGAACAAATTTTTGGGCAAATCGTCTTTATAAGGGTAAAGGCACTTAGCAATACAAATCTGATAGCATCAAGACATGAAAGGAGAAAAAGGCTCAGTTCCGGTTGACGGGCGACGCTCAAAAACGTCGCTGTTTAAACTCCCTATTGTGTCTTTGGGGGGCTGGGGAGAGGGAAAAACTTAAAAGCGCGCGGGGGACGATGGGTAGGAGGAAAAGAGGAAGAGAGGCCTTTTCTCACTTCTCATCGTTAATACAGTGCGTTTAGTATATTTCCCATTATTTCCATTTTATTGGAATACCCAGTGTGACCCTTACGCAGGAGATTGGAGTCATTTTATACACACGCTCGCACAGTATGTGAAATCGTTTCGTTACTAAGTTTGTGAAGTTGGCCCATACTTCATGCTAACCTTTCAAAAATTGGCTAAATTTCGGAAATAGGGTTTATTCTCATCCATGCGGGGTCTTTTGGAGTCTTTGAAGTGTTTTTTAATACACTTCATTTCGTACGTACACGAAACAGAATTGATCAGAAATTATGCAATGTAGAGCGATAGTGGTGCGATTTAATACAGAAATGATGCGATTTAGATCCTGAATGACATGATTTAGAACAGATATGATTTAGAGCAAAAAATAGTGTGACTCGTGAATAAATCACACTCCTGAGAGCCAATCAGATTGCAGGGATCACCAGTGACTTCAAAATGGATATAATAAAATTCTATATCAGCTAGGACTGCTTGGACTCAAACCAATGACTGCCTAACAAGAGACTAAATTCTATCTTTCACAATTCTGGGATGCGCGTTCATTTATTGGTACCAAAGCAGGACTTTATTAGGCCTAGCCTTCAAAGCACGATTATAGCAAATGATAATTAAATATTTATTACCTAATATTTTTTAACTGGCCTTTAATTTTATTTGTAAAAAAATAAACAAAAAAAGCAAATTGAGGCAATACCTTGTCTTCCATTCTTGTCTTGTCATGAAGCACCTTCTCGCGTGTTTCCTCTTTACTTCCCCAAGATCCCTCTCAATCTTGTCCAACTGTGTACTGCTTTCTTTCGGTATTTCTGGCTTCAGGTTAACAACATTAAAAAGGGCTGTTAACAGGAACACCACCAAAAACCTGACCCAAGAATAGCTTCCACAGGCCACTGCTGCTAAGGCACTGGTGATGGGTTGTAGCCTTCTACTTATCGCATTTCCACGTCCTTGTGTCTGTAACAGGGGTAACAGATCAGGGTTCTTGTGTAGAAGGTCTGCCAGCATTTCAAGTGTGGCCGGCGTTTTCTGCTGTCCTTCTTCTTGTACTGGGCGAAGGAGTGAATCCTCAAGGGTATTGTCCGTCATGGTGTTGACTGAGATATGATTGGACCAGATTATTGTGAAATTAATTGGTTCAATTGAGGTTTACGGTTAACTGACCAGTTACCTCTCCCCAAAATCACAATTTTGCCTAAACAGAGAAGTAGGCGTCAATGCCGACTTAGGGGAGGGGTAGGTGGTTAGTTACTCAAAACTTCGATTCGGTTGATCCGATTGAGCTTAAACCGGAATAAGAATATGCGAAAGTTTCGTTGCCACTTATATACTACATACCTCGGGATATATTATTTCAAGCAGATTTCTCGATATTGTAATGCAATGAATGCCAAAATAAGTGATCTAAGAATAAAATTTTTCTTGCATTTATTCTTATTTCGTAATACGGTCAATCTTCCACTTCTTTAAGGGCTCGGAGATAGCACAAAAAGAACAGTATGCCTTTCGACTCAAGGCCATATAATATTAAAATTTCTCATATGTCCCAGACATGAAAGCCAGGCAACTAGGGGTATAGGTGGCGGTGATGTTCTAGTCATAGAACTGAAATTAGTATTGGTAATGGCACTATTAACAAAGATACAATGAGTGCAGCTAATCGGCGAAGAGAAGGATTCGACAGGAGAGTCCATCAGGCTGCCTCACACCAAGGCGCTTCTTGAGATTTTCGACGATAGTCGCGGCGCGAGGATCATGGCAAAGCATTGATAACGCAAAGGCACAAGGGAAGACTCGCCGTGAAAAGTCAAACGCACTTCCCATGACCCCCTTCGCCGCGATTACCGCAGAGAATCCCAAGAAGGGCCTGGGTACGAGGCAGGCCATCAGGTCTGCTCTTTTCCGGACTTACCAGAGAGGAGAAGTCTTTACGTCACGTTGCCATGGTAGCAAAATTTCTGGATGACAATAAACCAAAAACGTCAGCTAAAAACTGAATTCACGGTGTTTCAAACTTCATCGATCGTATTTAATTTCACTTAATTTGTCAAATGTTGGCGAATTTTCGGGGGTAGAATCCGAAAGGACCGTGTCTAAGTTAAGAGAAAGAAAAAGAAAATTTTTGTGTTGCGTTCACCAACTCCGTAAAGCGGGCGCGTGAAATTAGGAAGTTTAATCTCGCAGTCGTGCAACGACGCAAAGAAATGTACAAAAAAGCGTGATGTACTTGGAGTTGCTGTTTTGCTAATATAAACCTATTGATTTTTAGCCGTTCTCGTTGCTGTCGCCACCGTCGTTGTTTAAGCTCCCTAGTGTTGTGATTCAGAAATTTTGCTACCATGGTAACGTGACATCACACTTCATCTGTCTATAAAACGTTCTACACCTTGTACTTGTGTACTATTAATAAGCACTGTCGAATACTGTAAACTCAGCAAAACCCTGCTTGCAATGCATCATTTTCCGCTAAGCTCCGAGTGGACCCGGCCGAACTCGATTCTTGGATAAGATTTTCTCTCTTTACTACTAGCCTCTTGATTCATCATTAGTCTATTTTCTGTTACGAAGGAGAAAAGGATTCTTTTTCGGAGGGATAACGAAACGACACATCATTCAAGGGAAAAAAACACTCTCAATTTCATTGGGGAATAAACCGGTTCATTTCCCGGAAAGAAGGATAAGAAAGTAAAATTGTTTTATTCAAAAAACACTTAGGCAGCTGCAAACAGTAATCTACAAGATTTTTATAGTTAAATTGCCAGCTAAATATAGGAGAGTGTTACAAGTTTTTACTCAAGGCTTAGGGTTTCTCAAAATGATTAAACTGAAAGGGATGGAATGTACGGGAAGGACATGTAGCTAGCTTCCGCCTGTTGCATTTCCTGCTTCAAGTTCTCAAAAGAAGTGCAGTAGCCATGATTTGCTAATAAATGAAAACATACATAACGATAAATTTTCAGCACAAAAACGAAAACTTAATTGTGGAATGTACGAACGAAGTTGGAACTAAAAGAATGTCGCATTTATATTCTAATTCGGAGTGTTTAGCTATCGCCCCTAAAAGTTTTAGAGCTCCACTTAATTCAGATTGAATTCCTAGACACATAAAGCCAATACGTACCCCCTTGATCGATATCAAAGGGAAACGGAGGAATTCTTTGGGTATGATAGAAAAAAATACCTGCTCAGTATCCGTACGGATACTCAGTTAGAAGCTTCCAAAATAAAAGGGATAGAAGTAGATAGAAGGGGATTTTCCCCTCGGGTTCTCCAATAGCCACTTCCGGAAACGAATGAATACCATGTATGTAAACCCTATCAGCGTTGTCTTTCAAGAGAGAAAAAGACTTTCGCAATTTCATGTCCGAAAAATTCTTTTTTCTATTCATATTCATCAAAAGATAGATTATTGTCATTACCTTGCCAATTATAAGGACGTACCAATAAAGGATGTAACGTCCCCATGACTAAATATCAAATTCTCCTCCGTAGTGATTTAACTACATGGTTTGTACGGTAGGGAGAAGCTTAAGGTTGAGCAGGGATTAAGGAGTCACTATTACTACACCCAGTGAGGGTCTACACCGGCAGGGGTAATCGAATCTTAGTTATCAGTAGAGTTAGATACATTGCTACGCCGGCTTAATTTTGGGCATCATCCTATAGGTGGAACATCGAGCATAATGCAGGCACAGTGGCCATTTTTTCAGCATATAGAAAATGAAAAAAAGTAATAATAATAAAAAAATTCCATAACTGTACTGAGACATTTTTACTTCCAAGTGCTTTTAGTGAGGATTTACATATTCAAACGCTTGATTGCTACTTTCAATATCTTGTTGCACCGTTGCATCATTTTGTTAAGCTGCTAAGACTGGACAATTGTCTGTCTATCAGTCACGGCTGCCAGTTCGAAAGTTGTAACTGATGCAATAAAATATTGTACTTATGCCTGCGGGGATGGAAAAGGGCCTCAAATACTTCCAAGATCAGTCGAGCATAATGCTACTTTTCAAGCATACTTTTAGGCATAATGCTGTTGTTTTAAGGGTGACGCTCAAAAGCATAATGCTAAAATTTTCGAGCATAGTGTATCTAACCCTTGTTATCAGACTGGTCCTTTTCTTGGAGTTTCTCAGCTTTCAGGTGAAATTTCAGCCCATTCCTCTTGTAAGTCTTTTCAGTTTGGAGCCAGATCTTAGCTATTAGTTAAAAACACTAACTGATTTCTCAGCTACCGGCTAGATGACTGATACTGGAGAAATTTGAGGCATTAGTTGCAAACCCACAGAGAGTTTCGTATGTCTCATTCTTAGATACAGCAGCTTGAGATAAAAGTTCTAATTTTGGAGGATCACTCGTGGAAACTTGAAGTAATATAACAAAAGAAAACAGTGTGAACGGTGAACGGAGGCCAAACCAACCCCGATCTGCCACTAGGCTACAAGTTTGGCCCTCAACCTTCTCCTGAAACAAGATATTCTAATTATTATATATATCCTGTTCACAGACCCTCTAGATCCTCTTTAGAAAAAGAAAAAAGAAAAATAAAACAGCGTCTGTGTAACAATATTCTAACAGAAAATGGCTGTGCTCATATTTTATTGAGGATTAAAGTTGAGCTGTGTTTTATATTATTCCCATACACCGTATTCACAAATGGCGGACACGCGGGAAAAAACTGGTGCCTAGTCATGAAAGCGAGGCGTTGGAGGATAAACAAAAATTGCAAATGAAGACTTTCAGTGAACTTGCAGAGTGTTTAGCACGGATTCCACCTAAAATAACTTTCTACGGACTTCTTTATAAATACAATTACGTGGGATGTCTTCTGCTTTTAATGTTTAGTAGCGATTTGCTGTTTGCAATCAAAAGGGACGCGTATATCTTCAAGGAAACAGAATGATTTTGTAGGCTTCCGAAGCATCAGAAGCTTGACAAGTGGACGATGGCTGGAGAAAAGCGGCAAACATGTTGACCCAAACTTCACTTTGAAACCGAGTACGAAAGCCAGCTCACTGCAATTCGGTGAAACAGAAATATAAACAAATCTTGGTGGCAAGAAAAAAGGAAATAAGCGACAGATGTATGGCCTACTTGCAACTGTTAACGCAAGAGACGTCTGCCGTTGAACAAAACAGTTCAAGTCGAGATGGAAAAAAGGAAGACAGGAAAGAAGAGGTGACTGAGGTTTCGATGAAGTTATGTTTGGTTTTTGTTTGCCAGGACGTTATTCTCTGGTCTTTATCAATGAAGAACATCAATTAGACAGCGGGGTTGACCTTTTTTTTAAGCGGTTTTTCGGTAATTTATTTTTAATGTGCGGAAGCGATCGAGAGGAGTACGCTCAAAATTTCAACTTGTTACTCGGCAGACTCGGTAAGCCGGCCACATATCATTTCAGCGAGTAATTTCGTATTTCTTACCTTTAGCTGTTAAGAGTTTTAACTTTATGTTTCATAATATTTTAAAGTTGAAGAATACATAAATAAATAAAATGATGGTCTTCTTAAACTGATCCAGACTCGAATTCAATTATTCGAAACAGAAGCTTGCCGTGTTCAGTCCTGACAAAAACATTGCCTTAAAATTTTAACCTAGTAAAATGTAAGCTTTATACCACTTTTTTACCAAGAGCTCTCTGAGATAATGCCCTAAAAGAAACCAGGCAAATAGCAAGCCATAAGATTCACACACTACAGCTTCTAATTTTGATAAAATTATTTTTAATTGTTTCGCAATGACAAAGAAATCATGAGATGTTTGCTAAGCTCTGCCAACGTACCTCTAACAATTTCCTCCAAAGCGACGGAATTAATCTAATCCAATACAGAATTGTAGTGATCCGGCTTTCGTATTCGGTTTCAGTGTGAAGTTTGGGCCAACATGTTTGCCGCTTTTCTCCAGCGATCGCCTACTCTTCGAGCTTCTGATCGATGCTTCGGAAACCTACAAAATCATCCTGTTTCCTGAAGATATACGCGTCCCTTTTGATTGCAAACAGCAAATAGCTACTAAACATTAAAAGCAGAAGACATCCCACGTAATTGTATTTAAAAAGAAGTCCGTAAAAAGTTATTTTAGGTGGAATCCGTGCTAAACACTCTGCAAGTTCACTGAAAGTCTTCATTTGCAATTTTTGTTTATCCTCCAACGCCTCGCTTTCATGACTAGGCACCAGTTTTTTCCCGCGTGTCCGCCATTTGTGAATACGGTGTATTTTAGATAAACAACTCAGTCGACTCTCCATGTTTGCATTTGGAACACATTTCCTGAGAAGCGATACAACTAAGCGGAAGTAGTGCCTGGAGAAACGTTTTCGGGGAAATTGGTCAGGGCCCAGTTGTTCGAAGGCTGATCATAGCGCTTAACTCGGGGTCAAATTTAACCCTGGTTTCTTTTTCTTGTGTTCAAAAGCATTTTCTGTGCTATTTTTAGACCTTCCAATCATCAACTTGTGGACAAAAAGAATTAAAACTGAAATGCTTTTTAAGCTTTCAAATCTGAATTCAAATCTCGCAATAACCCTGGGTTATCTTAACCCAGCTTTGAACAACTCGGCCCATGTTGTCTCACTAGGTGCAACTTATACCGACTTTTAGGATCTAGCAATGCTTGACAGAACAGTTCTCACACTTAGAAGTATCCCTCTGATCTATCACTTTCTGTTGACTACAACTTTGAAAAACTAATGAATCGAAACGAAGAGGTCGTTTACACCTCAAAAATATTTAGCTCTTATCCATCTGATTTCCCAGGAAAATTTTATAGTTAATGTTTCCCGGAAAAGCAATGTTAATTTTCTAGTTTCGCAACAATGAAGCAAATTATAAATGCATCCTTTCACCGCAGTGAAAAGTCAGGGATAATGTACATGTTTTATTGTGGTATGTTTTTCTTTACTTTGTTGGGACTGTTGGCCAGTTTAACATTAGTACATCCAACCAGCGAAGAATAACTAGAAACATTACTTTGCTGACTGAAAACATCTGAGCACAGCTAAAGAACTAAATGAAAGCTCAAAGGAAAATGATCATTGTTGATTTCTGAATTTAAACCAACTCACCTTTTGTACCTGAACAATCAGCAAGAAATGTAAGGAAGTGTCGTTTTGATTCGTATACCGAGGCTTCTTTTCTGTCGGGATAACTTGAACAAAACTGGCTCCCCCAAAAATGCTTCCATAAGCTTCTTTCAGTTTTGAATATACATCTGCAAAGAAAATAATCACGTGTGCTGATTTGCATACTTAGACGCTTGTTGTAAGGTTTGAAAGATTTCAGACCTTACCCTCTAGTTCGCACGACCGAAATGAATTAAATGCTTTAGAGTCTGAAGACCCATTGTTAGGAACGAATAGTCTTTGTATTTCACGCTCTCTCATCTACTTCCTCTTTTTTTTACCCCTAGTTTAACATAGACTGACAACATTGGGAAATATGGCTATCATAGAATCTCCGCAACACTATCTTGTTCTTGGTGTCAACTTTTCCTCGGCTTCCACTGAGATTTCTTTGCGACAGCTTCAGTGCTACCCCCTGTACTGAACTAGCAGATTGCGTCGCTATCTACTAAAGCTGGTCAGAAAAATGCAAGTTATTGACTCCGCCTTTAGCTTCCGGTAATTCATACAATTAACGACTTTTCTTTCTCAAGATTAGTTGAGGCACACGGTAACAAGTCTCCACCCTTCTGAAAAGAAGTCATGACTTGATTGTTTAGAAATTATAATTGCACGTGCTTCACTAACAACTACTGAAGAGTTGAGTAGACAGAGCACGCATCCTGCTCTTTACTAAGGGCTGAGATGGACTACTGCCTCACGAGCGAACAAACACTTTAAAAACGAAAGCTTTAAAGTTACATTCAAGGGTGTTTTTAACAGTCAATAACAAAGTATACATATGTTTACGATTTATCAGCCAATTTCCCGGAAAAGCGTGGTCTCACATGTATGAATAGTAATCACACAGATAAATAATTTGATTTTGCAGCCGGTTTAAGCTATTTTTTTGTCGTGTTATGCAGATTTAGGCGTGAACTAGTCTCAATTAGAAGAGTGTAGTATTCATCTGGGATTTCTTTATAGTCTGGAGTTTATTTTCAACTACTACTGAGTTCCGGTAACTGAACAACTTATATCACTGACTATTACAAGAAAGCATTAGTGAGCGATTAATATTATTTTCCTGCTGTAACTGATTAGTACTTCAAGCTAATGGCTATAGTGGTTTGAATTCCGGGAAAAAGATCGAAGTGGGTAAACGGATATGTATGGATCTTTCAGGCTGATCCGTTTAAAGGATTTGACGAGGAAGATAACAGTATTCAATCGTAGAAATCTTTGCCATAGAGGCTTAAGGGTAAGGGTAACTGAGCACAATCAATTTTAATGGTGACTAAACTTTTTAATTTCCCGGAAAACGAAATGAAATTTCATTTTCTCATATTTATAAACACATACTGAACTGAGATTGGTAAAATCGATTTAAGGCAGCTCGTGTTTGTATGCATCAAATAAGAACGAATTTTGCTCATTTTATTCCCAGTGATGAACTGATGTACTCACTACTCAACTAAAGAAACAAATTTTCCGATACAATTTTACTGAACAATGCAGTTCAACAACCAAAAACTAATTAAGAACGAAATATTCTTGACGCGGCTTTGAATTTTGAACTCAAATGTCGGCGTAAAACTATTGTAAGTGCCAGGCGGTTGATCAAGAATGAATTCTCTCAATTCTTGACTTTTCTGGCCTCCTCTGACAGCTTTAATGACAACACCACTTAGGAATTAAACGTTTGGTCAAAACTATCCCATTCCCTTTTCGTATAACTATCATAGCTAGCCTGAAAGTCCTGCTTGTTGGAGCTGGATATGGAAGCCTCGAAAATGAAAGGGCACAGGAAGTCCATCTAGGGATTTTTCCCGTCGAGTTCTTCAGACCATTCTACAAACAAGCAGCTGCCATAACCTTACATCGACGAATAAATGTCTTTCCAAGAAAACACGTTGCAATAGAAGAGAATATTAGTATTCATTTTCAGGGAAATATGATAAAGCTGGGGGACTTCAAACGTTATTTTTTATGGCGGGG